AATCTATTTGAATTTGTTCCGTTATATATATATATTAAATACCTTTTTAATATCTATCATCAGGAGATATATGTCCCCATCCATTTAGAATATGAATATATATATATATATATATATATATATGTGTGTGTGTGTGTGCGTGCGTATGTATGTGCGTGTGCGCGCGCGTGTGTGTATGTAGGAATGAGAGAAAAACATATATGTATATATATGCAAATACATATATATATAATATATATATATATATATATATATATATTTTAAAATTAAAATTATATATATAAAATGGTCATTGATTAAAAAGGTATCTTAATTCCAACTGTAAAGAAGATTTAGTCTGTTTAATGAAAATAAATATTGAGCCCTCTTTGTGAGTCAGTTTTGACATATCTCAAATTCTATGTTGTGTTAATAGGACTCGCCTGGAATATACCAACGAATTGCTATCTATCTATCTATATATATATATATATATATATATATATATATATATATATATATATATATTATACAAATACAAATGAGAGAAAAAATAGGTGAAGTAAAATTCCACTGTTCATAAATTTTACTTTAAAAAAAAAATATTCAATGCAAAAATACAGCAATATATTATTATTTTTATTATAAAATATTATATAAAAAAAATCATATTATGTTGTTATTATAATTATTGTTTTTATGTATATATATATTTTTAGAATTACACACATATATATATATATATATATATATATATATTTATATTTATATATATGTGAAAAGTGTATATAAATAAATATATATATGTATAATTATTTATATATTATATGCGGTAAAAATTATTAAAAAGTTCCGCCCAATATCAGAGATAGAGCTAACATATTTGGTTGGATTGATGTTAATGTAGCGCTCAAGTTTGTCTGACGATCAAATAAAGTTTTCAAAATAAGGGTCACAAACTCACATCTATCCAACCAAATATATATATATATATATATATATATATATATATATATATAAAAATTCAAGAATATATTGGAAAACTTTCAACCGGCGTGGTGAGTATTTATTCACCGAATATGTATATATATATATATATATATATATATATATATATATATATATATATATATATATATATATATATATTATAACTAAAACAGGTAACAGATTTCATGAAAATATAAGAATATTTTTATATTTTATCCATAATATTTCAAAATAAATAACCATATATATATATATATATATATATTAATATATATATATATATATATATATATATATATATATATATATATATATATATATATAAACACACACACACACATATATATATATATATAATCTGAAAGAATAAATTACTCACCATATTCATATTTATTGAAATTGTTTTTGAATATATTTATATATATATATATATATATATATATATATATATATATATATATATATATATATATATATATATATATTATTATCTTGTTTTTATTTGTTTTTATATATATATATATATATATATATATATATATATATATATATATATATGTCATGGTCGAAAATGTGCTCACCACGCCAATTTGAAAGTTCAAGATGTATTTTAGAATGGGAGTTGTTTTTATTACTTAAACTGAATTAAATTGAATTAAAATAATGATTCGTTCTTGATCAGCGTAACTTATTATCCCAAAGGGAAACAAATGAAAAGTATAATAAATGTCTATTTTAAAATATTTGTTTACAACGCAAATTTTCAAAAATAAATGCCGTGTCTTAAGTTTTAATGACAGCGCCTCCAGTCATAAACAATTAGTAACCTCAGTGATAACGACAAATGATTTCATTTATTCCTGATGACTTTGCAATACTTTATTTTTCAAAATATTCGGGTAACTTTTAGGTTCCTCTTCCCTCATTAATATAACAATGCATTTCAATATAATCCTGTAAAACTTCACCGCCACTCAACTAAGCCCCATTTTCTACAGAGGATAATCTTTTGGTAGACACCGGTAAGAGACGTTTCTGACGCGTGTTTAGATACAACTTTTGCGGCATGTATCTGTCTTGTGGATAGACAAGTTGTTGTAACAGTCGCTAGTTTTCCTTTTCAGAGTAGGAAAGAAGGTATGTAATACATTTTTATATATTATTTAAAGTTTTTTCTAATAAAATAAAAATCATTTATAAATTCCGACACTTATCTCAAGCCGTCTTTAATATTCTATTATAAATGTAAATGTAATATTTGTTCTGTGATATTGTATTTTAAGGTTATAAAAGTAGTTCTCCTGTGCAGACATTAGTAATAAGTAAGTTAGAAATTGTAGTCATGCACCAAAACCTTGTAACTAGTAATTATTATTTTTCTCATAAGAAATGGAAAATATCTTCACTGGGATCAGTAAATTTCAACATTCATGACTATACACGGTGTGCACATGTTTAGTGAGCAGACAAAATCTTCCCAATCATTTCTATCTATCTATCTATCTATCTATCTATCTATCTATCTATCTTTGTTATAAGGCATTACATTTGAACATATGTAAACCGCTACAGCAATGCATCGATGTTTCGATGCCTATCATAGTACATCATCAGGCGATGCTTGGAAATAAAAACAAATGTTTGACAATTTTTTCTTTATTTTCACACGAAATTAAAGCAAATAATGCGAAGTTTAGAACGGTTCATGATCAAACATAATAGACATTCAATGCCTGTTATATTTTTAATATATATATATATATATATATATATATATATATATATATATATAATGTATGTATGTATATATATATATATATATATATATATATATATGTACAAATAAATATATATGGATATAGATCCGATATAGTATGAAAAAAAACACACACAAAAAAAAAAAAATCTTAATATGAAATTATATTTGTATTAATATTAATATAATATAATATAAATTTTATATGTTCTAATGTTAATTATGTTTAAATGAAAATGTCCATGAAGATGGTCTTAAATAGACCGAAACGTCCGACGTTGACTTTATATTAACATTAATACAGCATAATTGCATATTAATTTTTTTTTTTTTTTTCTGTATTTTCTTCATACTGTCGGATATATATCCATATATTTGACACATACTGTCTACTGGAAATACAAACCTGAATTTACTTTATAACATGGAAGACTTCAAGCTTGTACGAAAATATAAGAATCTATTGATCAAGTAAAAGAAAGGATTTATTATCGAACTGTTTTTTAAAACTGTTCCATCGTTTTTGAAATCATTTTTGATTTGCTTTGTAACGTGGAGGACTTCAAGCTTGTATGAAGATATAAGAACCTATTGATCTCTGCGTATTCCTATATCAACGGAAGGGATTTCTTGAACTGTTTATATAAAATAGTTCAATCGACTTTTTTTTAATATTTGGAAATCATCTTCGAATACTTTTTCACAGCATCGCCCACGTGACGACAACGTGATCATATTTAAACAGAACGCTGATCTTGTATAAAAATTTCAGTTATCTATTTGGATTAGTTGGGCTCTTATGTCCATCGTCTTTTGTGTTAAATTTTTATATGTTCTAATGTTAATTATGTTTAAATGAAAATGTCCATGAAGATGGTCTTAAATAGACCGAAACGTCCGACGTCGACTTTATATTAACATTAATACAGCATAATTGCATATTAAGATTTTTGCTTGTTTTTTTTCTGTATTTTTCTTCATATGTATGTATGTATGTATATATATATACTGGGTGTGACAGCAGCAAAATTGTCCAAATCGTGTGACAGCACAAAATCATTATCCATCCCACAAAATATTTAATATAAAAAAAAAACCACTAAACTAATTGTGTTTCTTTTTTTCCAGGTTTTCAGATAAGATCTTTAACCATCTTGATACCATTTTTCGAAAGCATCATTGAAAAAACCTCTGAGTTATTCAGCTAGAAAGCGAACATGTTAAAATCGTTTTGTCTCAGCCCCACGATGTCTCCCCAACTGAGCAATGGTGAGAGGAAAAAGATCATTCAGGCCTTTAGTAATGGTACCAACATTCATGTTCTAGATTCCGTCTTCAAAGTCCATTCAAGAACCATCAAGAGAACGGAGAATAAATTTTTAAAAAGATGGAACAGTAGAGAAGAAAACTGGATCAGGAGGTCACAACAGCAAGAGGGGGGGGGGGCATCATTTCAACTTAGAGCTAAATACATTGATATTGTCTAAAGTAGAGTCCGATAGTGTTATAAAGACCTCGGTGAATTCAGGTAACAGATCTGTAATCATTTCTAAGATACAACGGTTCAAAGCTTAATCAATAATTGGATATTTTGCAGTTACACCATATATATATATATATATATATATATATATATATATATAATTTCACATATATATTTATATATATATAGTAAACCTAAAGAGCTAGATAAACCTACGTAAGTTTTCAAAGTACGCGGATCGTTAGGGTAAAAAAATCGTCAAAATATATATATATATATATATATATATATATATATATATATATATATATATATATATATATATGTATATATATATATGTGTGTGTGTGTGTGTGTGTCTGAGTGTGACGTTAATAAATATTTAGTTCTGATGTAATTTACTTTTCTTTTTTTTCAGTAAAACAAGATTCTAGATGTTTTTTTTTTCACTCGAAAAGGAAAATGAATTATGAAGACAAGTAAAAATTCTTTACTGAGATTTTTTTTGTCTTTGACAAGACAGAAAATTTTGAGTCATCAAAACCATTATGTTACCCTTATTTCTATATGTATAGAGATGCTGGATCTGGGGTTGTATAGCGACCTCTCTATGCTTACTCTAGCTTTTGTATCAGGTTATTATGCTGAAAGTCAACATGCTCATATCCTCTTGAAAGTTTTCTTCGGCGCTTTCAAATTGGCTTCAAAACGTAACAAAGTTGGTAAAAACCACATTTCGTAGTCGACATCCGAGCGTTGCACTCATGTCAAATATGTAAACTAAATTCAATCGAGACATGCAAAATAAACGTTGACATTACAAACGAAATATGAGCAAACTGCTTATGATCTGTCTGTGTGTCTTGAAAAGGCAAGAGCTAAAAGGTTTCTAGATACGCGAATTTCTAGAGATCAAACCAGACTGGATCATAATGACAGAAAAAAACCCCCAAAAAACACGCACATATTATGATATGTCCCGGAAAAAGATATACTTGACCGAAGTAGCTAAGTAGTTTTGGCTACTATAACCAAGTAGAATACGGTAGCAGCAATCGACTGGCACGCGTCGTAGTCGCAGGTAAGAAGTGTTGATCAATGGCGTTGTCCAATGGGCGTCGTTATAGACTTAAATTCTGTCGTACCTACACGGCCGTCTGTATTTATGACGGACACCAGCCAATCATATTCCAGTGAGGGGGAACACAGGTGTAAGCATATTCCATTATATCATATTAAAATTGAAACCTAATCGTTCTTATACTGACAGACTATTTTATAGTCCCATCAGTTTTCTCAGTGGTACTTGCCATAGTGAACTGAATAAGAGAAGAGTCTTGTAGACCATGTAAATAAATATCTAGAGGATTAAATTATGGATTGTATAGCGCCAGTCTTACAACTATATTACGTTGAATACACCGGTTGTCGTCAGATCGTAAACTGATCTGCTTATGGTTATATCACTTTGAATACACCTCTCGTTCGATCGTATAACGACAGGCTTACAGCTGTAGTGAACAAAACAAGATCTAGATTTAAAATTCAAATGCTAAGCTCTGGCTCATTGATTTTGTTAGAAATTAAAAACATCAATTTACAAACTTTTGCTTAATTTTACAAAAAAATGCGAATCCAAAACAAAACTTTAAAAAATTTCCCACCTTAATGCGAAATGTTTTTCGGCCAATAGAAAACTAGGAAACATTTAAAAACAAAATTAAAATAATCTTCAATTCTCAGAAACAACATTCTTTTACAGACCTTTTCGCGAGCCGACGCGAAGTTTGTTCATCGTCCAATGGAAAGGCCCAAATCATATCCGGGAGTGAATTCCCAAATGACCTTTTCAAGCCTCGCAAACAAAATAAAAGACGGACAATTTCGCCTGTCACCAGAGAGAAGAAGACGAGCGTATTAAAACGTCCCTTGACAAACGTCAAGCGATCGTTATTATTATCTCTACCTTTCTCCCTCACCTCTTTTATACATGATAAACAAACAGAACATTTTAAGGCTGAGCAATTACTTCAAAGACATTCCTAGCCTATAATAATGTTCATACATACATACATCCACACATATGTTCCTGCCTACGTACACATAAACTCATTCTTGCAAGGACTACTACGGACATTTTGATGACCTTGTATCAACCAAAATACATTAATTTTATTTGTAGAGACCTAAATTGATTTATATGTATATAAATTTGTTGTTTCACTTTACAATTTGATTTTCTTGTTTTATACCCCTCTTATGGTGGGCTATCTAGCTAACAAGGCCAAATCAAACTAATCTGTTTCAACACTCATATACTTCACTATAACTGATAATCCACTATATTACTATATAGTAACTTAAAAATAAAATACACAAACATATATACTGTATTTACATTTATTTATAATAATTTTGTACTGTACTGAATATTTTTAGGCCATGAATAAAAGTGCTTCAAATTAACAGACAAGCTGCTTTTACAGACAACCCCCACCTATTAATCTGTTAAATTGAGATTCTACTGTAGATAGTTCTAGTGCTATTGAAAAACATTCAGGAATTCTTCATTTTTGTTAGTATGTGAATTTCCAATTTTTTCCAGAGTTAAAAGGTTAAAGGCAATAGCCAAAAGTATAAAAAAAAAATCATCATTTTGTCAGACATTAATAAAATACTACATGTCATAGAGACACTGTTGACATATGTGGAGATGATCAAGATTGTGAAAAATGATTCCTTGATTGATTTTGTTTAGTGACATATCTCTATGCGTTATTTAATGCCAAAATCTAAATATTTTAAACACAATTTTATGGCTTCAACTACAGATATTTTGAATGCAATTGTATGCCTTCAACTGCAGATAAAATTCTATTGTTGAGTATGGAACAACAGTCAGCTGACATTGGGCACCAGATGAAAGGTATTCCAGGCATAAATATGTATTGTTGGTAATTTTTTAATAAAAAATATATTGTTGGTATTTTTACTATAAATGTATTTTTATACTTTCATAGTGTTTTGTTTTTGTTGGAGGGGGGTTCACTATTTGCCCATATCTAGGACCCTAACAGGTGCAACCACTCCAATTAAGATTTTGCCTTGTAATATCCAATTGTCAATACAGCCAAAGTTTCTTCTCTCTAGGAAAATATGAACAAAATAAATACTTAACTAAAATTTTATTCATTTGTATATTTCTTATTTCATTATTTAAAAAAAAAAATAATTTATTAACAATTTCACTGCTACTTTGGATATTTAAAATACGACATGTCGTATAGACACT